GGCCGAGGCTGCGGTGGCCGGGAGCGGCCACTGTACTCCAGTCTGGGTGACAGAGTGAGACTCCAACTCAAAAAAAAGAAAAGAAAGGAAAAATTCAATCCATGGGCCAACTTTGCTTCTAAAGATGATTATCTATGATGATAGTCTCAAGATTTTTCTCCTCTTTGTCCCAGGAAATTTGTGAGCCACTGATGCCAGAGACTGAAGTAGGATATAAGGGTGTGGCTCCCACTAGAAGTCTCTCTCCTGGGGTGAGGTTAACCAGGAAGTGTCCCTTGCAGCTGTGATTCCTACCTCCAGACATTCCTAAATTGCCTGTTCTTAGCACTCTGGCTGTTTAGCAGCACTTATTTATTCTTCACAACTTGGATATCAGTTTTTAATCAATTTGCAAATATTTTTTGAGCCCGTACTATACGCCAGGTACTAGGTTAAGTGACAGTTACAGAGCAACAAACAATAGACATATTAATAGTTCCTCCATTAACGGTGCTTTCAGTCAAGTGGGAAAGATGGACATTGAACATAAAATTATAAGATCTCTTAACAAAGAGGAGGTAGCAGGAATTACAGGAATTCCTAGCAAAGGAATTAATTGTAGTCTACGGGATTCAGGAATGTCAGGAAAAGCTTCCCTCAGAAAGTGACATATAGGCTGTTCTAAAGATGATGGGTAATATGCACCCTAGAGTAATATATTTTTTTTTAAAGTATAAGACCCTGTGAGAGAACTAAATAACGTTTACCCCTGTGGATATTATACAAGAACTTCCAAGAATCAGTGTGACTACATGTGTGTACATCACACACACACACACAAACACACACACACACACACACACACAATCTTCAGCATGGTTTATATACAACAAACGCTCTCCAGGTTACCTGTTCTCCGGGAGGGCATCTTGTTTCAACTGAAAGTTCTCATTTACAGCAATTTCGTGAGCAAGAGTCATGTTTGATAAGTTCCTTGCTGCTGCCATCACTTCATCAAATGTTACAACCCTGGGAGGGCTTGATGCTGGAAAAAAACAAAGGCCAGTTAACACAGTAGAAGAGAAGCTATCAACCAATTAAGCTGCCTGATACACACAATGTTTAATTTAATGCAAATGTATATTTTAGGGTTTTACGTATAAGGAGAATATATACTAAAATAGGGAGATTCCCCCACTAAATAGAGGCTTTAAACATTTAAGAACTCCTTGAATAGCTTTCATTACCATGTTTGATAATAAACTCTCAAATATTTCTGAGATATATTTCTAATATATATTAATATGGCCTATTATAAGTTTCTTTTTAAAATTAAATGATCTCATTTTAGTGCTGATTGGTACTTGCATTTATTATATATATTATGTAGGAAAGTGATAAGAGTATTTTTATTCTGTAATTCAGAAGTTTCATTAAATATACTCAATATGAAATAACTGATTTTTAAAACTATAATTTCTAAACATATAAGCAGTATAGTACAATGCTTAATTAAATTCTAAGTTTTGCCAATTGGTAATTATTTCACTGAGGTATAGCTTACTTCCTCACGGGGTAGACCTAAGGTGACTGAATGAGATAATTTAAGTAAAAAAGAACATGGTAAGAACTCAAAAATTTACATAATTAAAGTAAAATAGAATAAATCTAAGAAGCTGGATAATCTACTTCTCAGTGGGATGTAGTAAGTAAAAAAATCTGAGTTATTTTTAAAGATTATACTAAGAAATTATTCTAATAAATTACGTCTTTTTAAAAATCACTTGGAAATTTTAGCTTCTGTTAATTAAAAATCATGATCTCAAGCAACTGCACTGACAGGTAACACTTTGCTACCTAGTTTTTTTAAGGAAAGAAAAAGGAGGAGGAAGAAGAGAAGGAAGGGGAGGAGGGGAACAGCAGAAAGAGAAAGAAAGGTGATACACAGAATTAGTAAAACCCTTCTTCAGGAAGCCCCGTCATCTGTTGCATCAACCCCATATATAATACAGAGAGTAAGAAAAGGCACAGGAATCTGAGGTTAATTCTTTTACCATCTCTATCTCAAGTTTCTCCTTAAAAATGTCTGTACTCTTTGGTTTAGTAATCCAATGATACGCAAAGGAATTTTCAGAAAGGCTTTACGCACTAAAATGCTCATAAAGCACTGTTAATAATAGCAAATAAATGGAAACTAACTAAATATCCAGTGATAAATCAATGTATAAGTAAATTTACAGTATATTCACTTGATAAAGTAGTAAGCAGTCATAAAAACAATATTTCATAGATATATCATCATGAGTAAATATTTAATACTAAGGGAAAAGAGTCCATACATATATACCCACATATGTCTTTGCAAAGAATAAAGATACAGCAAAGCACTGCCAGTTGTTGTCTTTGGGTGATAGGGCAATGTTTTCTTTTCTCTACACTTAAGTATTTTCTGAGTTTCAAAAATGAGAATGCAAAATTTGTAAATAAATACAAATGAACAAATTTTTTAGAAGTGGACATTTGATCACATTAAACACTAGTTGCTTTTTCCTGCATTTACTTTGTCAGTTAAAGGTGTTATGCTTTCTAAACAAAGTGTCAATGAAAAAAACTGAAAAACAGAGCTGGGCACAGTGACTAACACCTGTAATCTCAGCATTTTGGAAGGCTGAGATGGGAGAATTGCTTGAACCCAGGAGTTTGAGACCAGTCTGAACAACATAAGATACCGTTTCTTAGGAAAAAAAAAAATTAAAATTAGCCACATAGTGTGCACTTCAAGTAACAGTTACTTGGGAGACTGAGCATCACTTGAGCCCAGCTGCGAGCTATGATTGTGCCACTGCATATCAGCTTGGGCAACAGAGCAAAACCCTATTTCTAAAAAGGAGCAAACAGATCTGCCTTATACATTTCTAGTTTCCACACACAGAAAAAGAAAAAAAGATGTCTTCCTTTGCTTTGGCCTATCTTGAAACTCTTTCTTACACTCCAAGTATAGTAATTCTCCTCGTGGGTACCTTTCTGGGTGAATTGCACAACGCTTTTGAAATCACCAGGAAACGCTTTAGATTATTTCACTTCCTTGCTGACCCTTCAGTGAAGGCAAAATTCCTTCAGTGTAAATCAGAAACAATCAGAGAAGACGAATTCAAATTCATCCTTGTGGAGAACCCAAGAAATAATCGCAAAGAATGGATTTCTGCCATTTGGGAGATAAGACAGAGTTGGAGGCCTGCTTTTGGTAAGGTGAAAGCAGATCAGAGACAGTAATCAAAATAAAAATCAGCAGATTGTAAACTCTAGGGGCTATTTATTTCTGAGAACGTCTCCAAGAAAGCTGCTGAACCTCTGTAGTGCTATTCTGGTAAATCCAGAAATGAGGAGAAGTCTGTTGTTCTCAAACACCTCTGCGTTTCCAAATCCAAGACACGTCTAATGTCACCCTCACCACCCCCACCCTGACCCCGTCAGCTCACAAGCGGGAGAGCTGGATTTGCTGGAGGAGTCGCTTGTGAAGCTCTGCCTGGAGCACTCATAGTCACTGAGCGAAGCCATGCTTTCGGAAAACCGCGAAGAGTCTGAATCGCTTGGCTGGTCCTCTCCCACACACTGTTTCTCACCATTGAAGGGCATTTTGTATCACGTAAGTGTGGACAAAGAGATAGCACCTGCACAGACAAACAGAACCCTGTGTCAATGTTCTGTGGTACTTCCATTGGCAGTGCCAGTGTAGATAACTATGTCCACAAGTGTCTTAGCATTGGAAAGGTCCCCAGATGACCTCATTCTTCCCGCAGCACCTTGGTCAGACTGTCACTAGGCCATCAAGACTGCCTTCCAGAAAAGGGATTCCACAGTCATAGATGTGAGCCTACTTAGGATGTCCCAGTATGAAAGAAGAGCGGCTCGAAGCAAAGGCAGATGCTTACAAAATATGCACAGAATATATATCCTCTCCTTTTGGGTTGCTAAAACATGGAAGGAAGGCATATGGGACTCTAGGATCAGACTGCATATTCTGCTGTTTGCCATTTGACCTCAGGAAGGTCACTTCACCTACTTATCAGAGAAACTGGACTGAAAAACTAATCTCTAGAGTTGCCTGAAGATTGACTAGGATCAAAGTTGTTAAAGTGCTTGGCACAAAATTCAAATGTTAGCTGTTACTATTGTGCCTATTACTTTGTTTTAAATAAAACACTTAAAAAATCAGCCTCTTTATGCTTTGTGTGAGCCTCTGGGAAAAGGGGAAGACTGATTAAATCTCTGGCTGGCAGGTTTTTAGCTTCTTGCCCCATCATTTTCACATGAACTGTTGTACTATAAAGAGAAAGACCTGATACTGTATTTGGCTTGCCTTTGACAACTACAAAGTGCTAACCACAACCCTGAGAGAGCAGGCACACAGGATCCTGATTCACAGATGGGGGAACAGTCTGAGAGGGACAAAGGGATTTCCTATGCCATAAAACCAGTCCCCTATCTCTATATCCAGTGCTGTTTCTGAAACATCGGGGAAAGACAGTTGGGTCTGGGCACAACCCAGAAAGCAGATCATGAGCACATGAGATGCACAAGCCTGAGCTCAGGAGCACTGGCCAAGCCCATGAAGGAGCTGGCCCTGATATAAGTGTGGTGTCAGCTGACAGTGAAGGGGAAACGTAGGCCCAAGAAGAAAGGTACCTCAAATCCTAGATAGACAAGAATGAAAGGAAGAGTTCACTGAATCCTTTTAAACCTGAATCAGTCCATTCAATGAGGGATGTGGTGCTTTTAAAGTTGCCAGAATGTGAAACCACAACTGTGTACAGTATGCCTGAAAATGCCTGCACAGTTTCTTCAATGACTCCATTAATATTTACCGAGTGCCTACTGCAGACGAGGCACTGGGAAAAGTAACTGAACAAAACACACAGGGTCTTAATCTCATGGTTCTCAAGTCCAGTTACTGAAACTGGGTGTGCTGGATGCTGGAAAGTAAGAAAAGGGAAAACAAGGCATTGTTGAAAAAACACAAGAAAGGAGAGGCAGGATCAAGACTAAGGTGGGGGATCAGGCCTTTGTTGCGAGAAACAGAGTTATTTTTTATTCCTTATGTGATGACAAGGGAAAGGATGAGTCTGAGAGGGATTTAATAAGGGTCAAAGGCCAAGGGTATTTGTACAAAGTTCTTAAGTCCTGCCACTTAACAGAAACGCACCCTTACCTAGCCCACCTATTTGCAAGGAGAAAACTGCTCGTGTGGAGACTGCTTATGCTCCCTGAAGGGCAATGAGTGGAGCAGAGCTGCCAGGGAGCTACCATGTGGAGACACTCACCTTATTCTAGAATCCCAAAGCCAACCATCATGAACACTGGTGGCAAAACAGCCCTGAACCCTTGAACCTTCAAAGTGCAGTAATCTCCTCTACCCCATGAAAACTAGATTCCACCTGAGGTGTAACTCTAACCTGCTCGGGGGTAGGGGAAAGAGGGCAGAAGAAAAGGGACTGCTTTGGTACTTTCACTGCTACCAAACCCCAAATTCTCAGTAGAATGTTCACCCTCGCCTCTAGCTTGCTTTCTCTCTTTACCAACATTTTATGTTCCATTGATGGCATTTCTTGAAAATGCTACCTCCTCCAGGAAGCTCTCCCTCCATCCTCTGGCCAGTTAAGGGCGCTGCTCCTTGTACCATCTGCAGCTCATCTTCTCTGTCTCCACAAGAACACTTAGTCTCTTGTACAGTTACTTTCTTCCTATGGTTACTTCTGAATCTTCTTAATAAGGCAGAGACCGTGTCTTGTCCACCACCAGTGCCAAGTATATGACAAGTATTCATTCAGTGTCAGCTAAATCAGAATCCCTGAGTCCCATCTGGTACAACTTCAACCAGAACATTTGCAAGCTGATATCACTACATGTTAACTGGCCTGGTACTGCCAAAGTCCAAACCCTGAGAGCAGAGAATCTATTGCCTAAGCCTATCTTATTAGACTTAAAACGCAAAATTTCTGGGTCCTTGTCACACTCCTATTTTAATAAGTTTGTTTCTATTTCATTTTTTTTCAGTGTTTGCTTCATAATGTAACAACTGTGCCATGTATGCTCTGTTGTTAATTTTTCTCCACTATAGCTGCCTCAAATGAGCTTTAGCTGTTTTTCCAAGTAAAAGTGAATAAAAGTCTTCAGCCATGGGAATTTATGAACTGGCTTAATCGTTATAACTGTCCATTTCATTTTTCTGTTCCAGCTAGACAGCACACCTGATAAGTTTCTTAATTGTGTCTAGCAAGGCAGAAAAGTGCAAAGATTTAAAAAATAAAAAGCTCTAGGTTAGGAGTTAGGGGTCCAGGGTTTGGGACCCATTAATTTTCTGTATAACTTTATGTGCATCACATCTGCTCTCTTCACCTCATTTTTCTGAGAGGGCTGAGCCAGTTATTTACAGGTGAGGATCAGTTACAAAGTTTTCAGTTACGAATTGCTAAGATGCTCTAAACCCTGAGTTCCAAGAGGCATCACTAGAAGTTCTGAGAAATTAGATGTGTGCTCATGAAAGGCATGCTTAATAATGTTCAACTACACTTTCTGCCAACAATTCACTGGAGGTAGAGTTCCTGGCACAGGGGACACAACAGAAAAATTTAAAAGCTTTAATATATTTAGAAAATCTTGTTTAGCGGGTAGAGGCCTCCACTTCAAAACTGGGCCTTAGAGTATCCAAGCAGAAGCCTATCTTTGACGCCAAAGTGCCCATTATTACTCTATTAAGAAATTGCCTGTTTCCTCATATAGACATACTCATAATTGCTAACTCATAGGGTTGGTGTGTGATTTCATTCAGTCAATATATGTAGAGTACTTGGAACAATCACTGACAATAAATAGGATACAGATGTTTGCTATTATTATTTGCCCGTTTTTTTGTTTGTTAATATCACCACCCCCTTAAAATCTCTGGAGGGAGGAACAGTTTATGTCAGGATGATAAAAGCATGTTCCTCTACATATAAACAGAGGCTGGTTAGTTAACCTAGGACAGAACTTTTGCACTTGTTTGGCATACAAAAGCCAAAAGCAAATGGCCGATCATAGTGTGAATGGTTTTTTTGCAAGTTCCTTCACACCTGCTCTTACCTTTCTTGGTCTTGAGTTTCCAAATAAGTCATCTGGGGACAAAGCTACCTGATTCAAAAGGCACTGAGGGTAATTAGACTGCTTTAAAAACTATTTTGAGTTCTTAGACTGGTGATAATTAAACTAGGCTGTGTCTTTAAAAAAGGTCCTCCTTCTTATACAGACAATCTTAGAGCTACCTAGCCCTCACCGCTGCAACTCATAAGTAAATCAAACAACTTTTGGGGTACATTGCATCTTATCTTACCTAAAGGATTTACTCACAGGTCAAAGGAGAAGACAGAAAGTAACTCTATGCAAAGCCTACAACACTATAGCGGGTCACTATTCCCCAAAAAATGAAGTATATGTGCTGCATATTCATATTTTATTGTTTTGTTCCATCACTTTATGATAACAAATATATAACAAATGTTATACTTTCTAAGGCCAATGACTAAAATACAGCAAGTACTTAAATAATTATTGATGAATAAATAAACTGATGAATGAATGACAGTATGACCACTGGTATTTAAGAGAGGAGGGAAAAGGTACAGGGACCTGAAGGGGCTAATCCTGTGTCTCACAGATAAAGGGGAGATTGGCTTTTAATTTGCTTGATTCCTCAGTGTGTGTCCAACTTCACCTCTTTCTTTCTTTTCTGCACCAGACTCTTTCTGCAAATAGTCCGTCAGGACTGTAAAGATACATCAAGGATAATGCACGTCACTAAAGCAATAACACTGGCTCTGCAGCCAGGTGGACTGAGTTCTTGAGCCTTGCTCCTTTTGATATTTATGGACTGAAACAGAGAACTTACATTTGAAAATGGGGATAATAATAGTGTCCACGTTATAGACCTGTTGTGGATTAACTGAAATAATCTATCAAGTACTTAAGCGCCTAGAAAGTGCCTAACAGATGTCAACTATTATTTTACTTTTTGAGTTGGAAAGAGGTGGCACAATCATGTCTCACTGCAGCCTTGACCTCTTGAGCTCAGGTGATCCTTCCACCTTGGCCTCCTGAGTAGCTGGGACCACAGGTGCATATTACCAATGCCTGGTTAATTTTTTTATTTTTTATTTTTATTTTTGTAGATATGAGGTCTCGTTCTGTTACCTAGGCTGGGCTTGAACTCCTGGACTCAAGTGATCCTCCCGCTTTGGCCTACCAAAGTGCTTGGATTACAGGTGTGAGCCACCACACATGGCCTATTTTATTCTTATTAAAAGAAGTTATGAATTCCAAAAATGTCAATGTCATAAAATACAAAGGAAGGTGAGGATAAGTCCCAGATTAAAAAAAAACAACAACACTTGATAAGTGAGTGCAATCCATGATTCTACACTGGATCCTGTCCTGGAGCAAAAAATAAAATGTTATAAAGGATATTATTAGTCAATTAACAGCATTGTTACAATACTTGAATTAACTGCATGTATCCGATGTTAAATACACCGAAGTTGAACTATACTGTGGTTATGCATTTAGGAATAAGGGGCCATGATGTATGCAACTTTTCCTCAAATGATTCAACTGAAAGAAAGAAAACAATGAAGCATATGGAACAAAATGTTAATAGGTGAGTCTGAATAAAAGGTGGACAAAAGGGTATTCTTTGTACTATTCCTTCAACTTTTTCTAAAAGTTTGAAAATATTTCCAAATAAAAGGCTAAAAGAGAAGATGAAGTGCTTCAAGATTCTAATTCAGAACAGTTCAGTCTCTTACAGTTTTGAAATTTTGACTGTTCTCACCACTGTGATTGCTTGAACACCACTCTATTATAAGAGCTCTTCTAGACAAACTCGTCCTGGCATCCTCCTTGAAAAGTGCCTAAAGAATAAAACACAAAATAGGCCAGAGCCCTCTAGAAGAGGCAAAACAAATCATCCCTCTTAAGAGCTCATCCTCAGGTGGTTTCCTTTTCCTCAAGAAGTCTCTTGGCCATGATTTACAACCCTGTGATGTGACTTCTGCTCACCTCATTCTGTAGTGCTCTTCCCCAGCCCTTCATGATCCAGATACAACAGCCTTCTATGGGTTCCTCAGACACGCCGCCCAACTTCCTACTTCAGAGCTCTTGGCACCTGCTCTTCTCTCCCCCTAGAATGTTCCTCTCGCTGATCTCCTCATGGTTGACTTCTTATTGTCATTCAGACTTTAAATTTAACGTCACAACTTCAAGGTAACCTTCCCTGGTATCCCCACTCACTGCATCTAAACGAGCCACCAGAGCTTAGAGCACTACCCGGACAGAGCAGGAGCTCAATGAATATCACTGCATTAACTAAGCTACACTTCTAGTCATAAGACAACTTGGGTCTTCCTTCTCTTCTCCCTCACTCACACTGTTCATATTCCCATTATGCAGTCACTTAAAGTACTCCAGATGTGTGCCTATCTGTCTCCCACTAGATTTTAAGTGCTGGTAAGAAGCAGCTATGTCTCCCCTCTTGGTTCCCAGTGCCTACCACATTTCCAAGGCATGAATCATTCAAACTAGTAAAGAGTTCAGGAGTTTAAAGGAACTTTTACATTGTGTCTTTCCACCCTGCTAATACTGGTAGCAAGTAATATTTCGAGCTAACAGACACTAAGCGCCTATTATGACCTCAGACACAAGACTCAATAGCTATTGTATTATAAGTGCTTTTTATATTTTATTTCCTTGATTCTTCATTGTAACCTTGTTAGCTAAGATATTATTATTAACCCCATCTTACAATATGAACCTGAGGCTCAGAGAGGTTGCATTACTTGCCCAAGGGTCCACAGCAGTGTAGAGGCACAACTCAAATCCAGGCAGTGGATCCCTAAAGTTCATGCTCTCTTCCACTTCAGGACAGCTGGAGAAAATCTGGTGTGTTGCTCATTCTTTCCACTCCCACTCTGCCAAACTGATCTACCCATCACCATGCAGACACTTGCATGTGTGGTAGCAAGCTGACCTTATCCTGTTATGGCTGCTCGAGTGCTGTTCTGTGAAGGGCATCACTGAAAGAGACCATCACCCCAAATAACTCTCAACCACCCCGGCTAGAGTGACTGAAGATCCTCTAGCAGGGAGCCATTATTTATCCCTAGTTAAAACTCAAGTATTTTCAAAGGGTTAACTGCTTACAGCTAGTACGAGTCATAGACATTTTAGAGTGAAATATTCAGATTATCCAGCAGGGCCCTGAGGAATGGAACCTATCCAGTTAAGGTTAAGAGAAATTTCAAGAAACCTCTAGTGAGCTATCCCTTCAAGACCAGATCAAAATCAGGAGTAAAGATAAGCATTCACATATGCGTAGTAAGGGATGAAGAGCCAGAGGAGTAAGATTGGGCTCTAAGAAAAAACAAAAACAAAAACAAAACAAAACACTGCAGATGATGTGGAAAATTTCCACGTTCTGCAAAATGCTGCTTTAGAACCAGTATCAAACAGCAGCACGAAGCCAGGCTCGGTGGCTCAGCCTGTAATCCTGCGCCTTTGGGACACTGAGGTGAGTGGATTGCCTGAGCCTGTGGATTCGAGACCCGCCTGGGCAGCAAAACCTCGTCTCTACAATAAATAAAAAATTCAGCCGAGTGTGGCAGTGCATGCCTGTAATTCCGGCTACTCGGAAGGCTGAGGCGGAAGGATCGCCGGATCCCAGCAGGTCGAGGCTGTGGTGGCCGGGAGCGGCCACTGCACTCCAGTCTGGGCAACAGAGTGAGACTCCAACTCAAAAAAAAAAAAAAAAAACAGCAGCACGAAAAAGTTATTTATCCACAGCAAAGTAAAAACCATAGAGCAGAGAGATAAGTGCCTGTACCTTTCAGCTAGACAATACTGGTCTTCATCAAACTAGAACCAACAAAGAGCTAGATCAAAGCCAGCAAGCCAGTCAGTGTGTAAAAAGCAGATGTTCCAGCTACAGATGGCATGACAGCATCCCAGAGAAGGGTTTCTAGACACTTTTCACATTCGAAAGCCCTCTCCTCCCACCCTGTCTGGTTTGTGCTTCCCTCCGGGGGTCCCCAACCTTGCAAACTGTCGTGGAAGCTGCTTCCACACATGACTAGGGACATAAGCCCGGGGCCTCCACTGGCTGCCTGGGAGATGCAAGGAATCCCTGGAGCTAAGAGGAAGAGGACAGCGGCAGGGAGTGGGAACCACAGACAACCTCACCATCTGTTGGCAGGCAGGAAGAGCAAGGTCTCTGGCTGGGCTGGTGACCGTGGGTCCTCTGGGGACAAGGACAACTTGTCCAGTTTCTTCCTGATTAAGGCAGCAGGACAACCATCTCAGATTTCCCAAACTTCAGTCATTTGAGTACCGCCCTTCACGACAGTTTGCTCGTCTCCACCCCTACCTATACCACAATTCAGAAAGCGCTTTTCTTTAGCTTGACTAGATTTTTGCTTTCAAATATATTTATTTTAAAGGAAACCTTATAGCATTATAAAATCGCTCGTGGGATTCAACAGATGTTCCTAATACTAACTAAAACACGTAACTATGCTCATCCACGTGCCACCTCAGATCATTGCTGTTAACCCCAGTGGCGCCACCCACAGCAGCGCTTTGAGAAACACAAGCCATCCCTGAGAGGTCAAGGGTTCGAGCCCAGGCCTCACGGGCATGGCTCCATCTCTTTCCCCTAACCGAGGATCCCGTCAAGGGAACCTGCCAGAACTCTGCCTACCCTGCCTGCCCACGTCCTCCGGCCGCCCCTCCTCTCCAGAAGCACCACGTTTCCTGTCAAAACAAATCCTTGGGGGGAGGGGACGGCGAAGGCAGCGTCGAGTGCCCAGGAAACCCCGGCAACAAACCCCAAACACACGCCGCGGGCCCCGCCCGGCCTCCACTCGGGCTCGGTCTCCTACTCCTGAGGGGGAGGGGTGCCCCATCCCCTGATCGCTGGAAGCCGATGGCTCCCGCCCCGCAGGATGCAAACAGCAGCTCGGCGGCCCCGATCCCACCGTCTCCGGGGCCCGCAGCCCGCGTCCACCCCCGACACCCGCGGCGGCCGCCGCGCGCCGGCGCCCCGCTCCCACGCGGGACGGCAGTTCGAGGTCAAACAAGGGGACTCGGGAAGGCGAGAACAAGGAGCCGGGCTTGGTCGCCCCCGGCCCCGCGGTCCAACGATGGAGTTCCGAGATGGGGCTGAGGAGGCCCTCGCCTGCCGGGGGAAGAGGTGTCCCCTCCGCCGGTCCCGGCCGGTCACCTCAGAGCCGGCGACCCCTCCCCCGGGATGGATACGCACCGGGTCCAGAGCGTGGACAAGAGGAGAACGGCGACGTCGTGACCCCGGATCAGGGGTCTCTGGCCGTTCCCTCACCGAGCGCAGCACAATCGCCTCAGAAACTCAGCAACCCCACAACTCCCGGTCCCTCTTTCCCCGCCCCCACCCCCATCACACGCGTTATTTAAAGGGCCCGGAGGGACTCTAGGGAGGCAGCCACGGCGCGGCCATCACAAAACCGGCGAGCGGGGGAAGACGGCGCGGCGAGGCAAAGGAATCCAGGGAACTTCAGGCTCCCATTCCGAGCTCTCACAGATTCGACCTACTGTAGAAACAGTTCCCCTTGTGTTTGGGTCAGAGAGGCCGCGGACAGATTGAACTGGAGGGGGTTTCAGGAGAGTGAGGGAACGGTCCTCCCCTCTCGCTGCTAGTGGTGCGGTCCGGGACTGCTAGGGGCGGAGAGAGAAGTGTTTACGGAACTAGGGCAGCCGGAGCGCTGGGCGCTGGGGGGCGGAACCGAGTGGGGCGCTGGGGGCGGAGCCTGTCGGGGCGCTGGGGGGCGGGGCGGAGCCGCCGGCCAAGCCACTAGTGGAGCGCTGGACGGATGCCCCGGGTTTCCCTAGCGCACCAGCGTGAACTCTGCTGCAAGCTCCTAGCCGCGCGTGGGGCGTTTGGCACCGGCAGACCCCTCATCTAGACAGCTCAGTCCCGCTGAGAGCCCACCGTCGCACTGTCCGCGCTTACAGAACCAACCACGTTGCTAGTGGGCTTTCCCACGCACATCAGCGACTCGCAGCGTCATCTACCTTTGTGTCTGCACCTCCACATAAACAGGGTCCAGATTTGCATCTGGACGGGACGATTAGCTCCTGGGAGCCACACCCACCCGGGTTCTCCGAAGACTTCATGTGCGTGCAAAAGATAAAGCGTCTAACTTCCTCTAGGGTTCTTGGCAGCACCTTTCTTCTGCAGAAGTTTCGGCACTGGTTCATGTAAATAACTAGTCCCAGGAGGGGCACTGTCCGGTCAGGCCAGCTGTTCGTCTCTTGTGGGCGTGCTGCAGAGTGTACGGAAACAAGCTTTGCCCCAAGCCACGCACATCAAAACTACGTCTCTGCCAGGTGTACATTGCTACTGGGTTACTGGGGAGAGAGATTCAGGCAGGAGTGACTTACTTGAATTTTGTATAGACTGGAGTATTTCTGTTTAAGTCCTGAAATCATGTCTAGATTGTGGAGGCAAATTGGCCACCACCGTTCTAAAAAACCAAAACAGGCCACGTTTTAAATAAAGCAGGGTAGAAAGTCATCGTTCAGTGGTTACAACATGGATTCCTCTGAGGTTCTAACTCTGGCTCTGATATTTACTAGCCATGAGATCTTGGTCAATGGCAACGATGATGGCTATTTTACTGGGTTATTGTGAGGATGAAGTGAGATAAAACATGTGAAGTACTTAGTGGTGCACAGTAAACAACTAATAAGCGTTAGTAACCGAAACTATTTGGCAGACCACTCTGACCAAACTTAGCTGGTGATCTGTATACATTTGTATCTGTGTCTCCTTTTGCCATTCTTTCCTCTCTTCTCCTAAAATATACAGCCTGATGCAGATCAAGAGATTACAAAATGCTGTCCCCACCCAGGTGCTTTCCTACAAACATGCCTTTATTTATATCGTTTGTTGAAATAAGCAATCAGGATGACAGAAGCCTCCAATTTCAATTCTTGCCAAATAAACAACACACAACTACTGCCATTACCACCCTAAAAACTCCACAATAGAAACATAACCAAAAATATCCCCCAAACTTCTGGTAACTCTGTGACAATGACACATTGCAGCATTGTTTCCTTTGGTTGCTTTATAGGAACTTGTTAAATGTTGTTTTGTGTTATGACATAACGAGGAGCAGGTGAACATGAGTCAGGATAGTTGTCCATCCTACCTGGGTGACCTGCTGCCTGACCCTAGGCGTGACACTTCTTTTAAAGCTCAAATGTATAACTCTCAAAGCCACGAGGAAGCACTTTTTGTCAAAGCAAGTGGCAGCATGTGCTAGGAAGAGAATCTTAAGGTAGAAGAGGTGGGGTAACATCAGAGACTCAAGCTGGGGTGAAACAAGATGCTGGAATCACATTTTTCTATCACTTTGATGTTAAATAACTTGCTATCTTAAAATCCTTTGGTGAATTACCTGATCAACCGTCCTTAATCTGGCTTGTGTATAAAAGCACTTTGACAAAATATAGTTCCATAAAACATAAGACTTCCCTTAAAAATGAGCCTTCTATTATATCATTGTTCAAAAAATTCAGACAATCATAAAATACTCCCTATTCAGGTTATGTTCATGACCTTCTGGAAAAAAATGTCTGAAAAGACAACCTCTTTAGCAAGTAAAATAATTAGCATTTTGTTTGAAGGAGAGATATTATTACACCTAATGTTTCCAACTTGTCTTTTTTGAGATACTTAGAGAGCTCACAGTAGTACAGGTTGTTTCCTCCCCTCCCCCTTATAAATTATACAATAGACCAAATTTGGTCTATCATCCTTGGCAAAAGACTGAGGGCAGATCAAAAATTTTTCTCAGTGAAAAAATACGAGGGGCGTCTCAAGAGAATCTAGAATTTATTTATACAAAGTGTATATTTAATCTTACATGTTTAAACTTCAGTCATCTTCAAAGTACTCTCGATTTGATGCAGTACACCTATTGAGACACTTTTCCCACTGCTCGAAACAGTTTTTGAACTCGTCAATTTTGATGTCTTTTAGTGCTTCTGCCAGTTTTTGTTTCATCTCTTCCACTTCAGTAAAACGTTTCCCTTTGAGGACTTTTTTCATCCAGGGAAAGAAAAAAAATCGCTCAGGGCAAGAGAGGGTGGGTCATAGGGTCTTGCCACTTTGGGGTCAAAATTGCTGAATGCTCAGCACAGTATGGGCAGGTGCACTTGTAAATCACCTATCACTTGTAAAGAATTTCCACACCAAAAAAATTCACTAAAGCTGAACACAACCTCTCATAACAACACTAGCTGATGGGTTCCTAGAACACTTGCCTAGTGGGGGATGCCTGTACTACAAGATGCCCGCCCTCCAAAAGATAATTCTGGGTTTTGGGAGGTTCCCCTTCATATATGTTTCAGTGCTGGAGAAAAAAAAAAAAAATCCAACCAGCAAACAACAATGATAAGAATTAGGTATATCCTAGGTGTTATTGCCCATTTAAGACATTTTCAAGAGCAATTTTGATGGCATATGATTTTGACCTTATATTCTCCCTTGAGATCCTAACCCCTCACATAAGGTATGACTGTAATATAAGTTAAAAGAAAAATTTAATGGAATCTCATCTCTGTTTCTCTCTCCTGTCCATCTTAAGGTACTAGAGAAAGAGCCCCCCCCCCCAAAAAAAATAGTAAGGGGGGAAATGAAATAGAAAACAAAAGGAGGAAAAAGACTTTGGCTAATCCACACGCTCGAGAATAGGATCCTGAATGTTCAAAAATTAATTGCATGCTTTCTGCTCAATTTTACTATGAACCTAAAACTGCTCCAAAAGATAAAGTCTATTTTTAAAAAAATTAACCATACTTTCTTGGCAAGTTTTATTCTTCTTTTCCTTTGAATTTGAAGATAAGGTAGATTTAGGTCATTGACCAGTTCTGAGATTAATTGATGCTTGATCAGTTTTTCAAAGCGCCAAAACCAGTTGAACCGAATTAGTATAAAATTAGAGGTTTTCTCATTCGTATTGCCTGTATCTTCACATTTGGACACTGGCCAGCTCCTGTCCCTGTCACATGCTAAGATGACATACATCGGGCCTCCCTCCACATTCCATGGGCCCCTTCCACTTACCTGAGCACCACTGTTGTCTCCTGGGAAGCAAAAAGAGAGTGAGAGCCAACAGTGAAGCCAACACAGGCCAGGAAGTGGGAGGGGCCAAGAGAGTTGAAGCTCAAAGGAGCACCAATGGGAGACCAAACCTAACCAAGACAGTCACTCTCCTAAGCCCACCTCTGGGCTAGCAGGCAACCAATCATTTTCTAAATGCTTTCATGAATGAACACTTAGACCATCACTTTTAAAATCAGGTGGAATAGCCAGTGGGCTTCGGAAGGACTATAAAAATAAGAGGCAAAATTCAGAAGACATAAAGGAAAGATTAAGAATTGTGACTCTTTAGATATAATGTTCAACATAAAAACATGAGATACAGAATCAAGATTATGGAGTGATATGATTAGGCTAGAGAGAGCTTACACTAGAGACAGTATATGTACATTCTGCATATATGAGATACATAGAAATGGACTCAAAAGATACCCTCCCAACTGTTTAGGAGACAAGTTAAGAAATAGTCTCGATTTATTCTACATACATTCAAATGGCTTATTTCTTTTACAATGAAGAGGTATTCATTTATATGTTACTAGTATAATTTCACACTGCCCAACAATGAAACTACTCTTATCATTGTATGTACTCCTCAATATGCTTTAGTGAAATAGGCTATTACTACTGCACAAATAACTTTTCCATCTCCTTTTTATTCATTTAGTCATGACAACAAATGGAGCTTTTTATATAAAGCATATAAAGGAATAGATTTGCAAGAGGTCCCTTACTATGGTGCATCAAAATTATTTATGCTGGGTAGGGGAATATTGCTCCTTACTTTTTCAGTTGTTCTCGTCTAAATACATGGAGCTTACTTTCATTTTAAACATGTTTCATGCCAGGCATGGTGGCTCATGCCTGCAATTCTAGCACTTTGGGAGGCCAGGGCAGGAGGATCACTTGAAGTCTGGAGTTCAAAACCAGCCTGGGCAAAGAAGTGAGACCCTATTTCTACAAAAAAATAGAATAATTCACTGGGCATGGTGGCACACACCTGTAGTCCCAGCTACTTAAGAGGCTAGACAGGAGGATCTCTTGAGCTAGCCATTTGAGGCTGTGGTAAGCCATGATCATACCACTGCACTCCAGCCTGGGCAATAAAGTGAAACCTTCTCTTAGAAAATAATAATAATAAATAATAGTAATAAGTAAATAAACATGTTTTTGCCCCAATTTCTGACCTCTTAAGGGCTTCCTTTTTTATTGAGAAACTGGACAAATGTCCTTTCCCAAA